CTATTACATACACTCGAAACTCCTGAGATGCGGTAGGCGTGGCTCGTACTTCAACGTCACGGCAACACAATTGTGGTCATGCTTCTGATCAACACTGGGCAAGATGGCAGTAGTCTCAAACTAAAATATCCCAGGAGTTACCCCACTCCGTGCTACGTTCAAATGCTACGCCTACTCCGTATCGGGGACAAGGAGTGTACCAATCCAGTGAAGGAATGCATTTCAGAATAGAGCCTATGGCTACGCAATGCGCACGGAGTTGATCTCACAAGTCCAAGCTCATAAGTGCCTTTGGGATTATACAACAAACGACTACAGAGTTCAAGACTCAAAGGCGAGAGCATGGGAAATCGTTCGTTCTTCCATGAAAAGCAAGGGATTTGATTATGAAGGTATGGCACTAATGTATTCTTAGGCGCAGCTGTAGCACAGGTCCATCAAAAGACATGACGTGTCATTTAACTCGTTATTGAGATAACTAGTCGCATAACACACTATCGGCGGGTGAACCTGCATCCTCCAATTATCAAAGAATTCCCAATACATGTCATTAACTTGTAATGTGACGCCGTGCACGCGTCATCTATCCGTTGTCAGATAGCTGGACTACGTACCTATGCTACATCAGCACCTGCGCTAGGTTAATAATACCAGGCTGGTACATGACTTCCGGAATATTTTACATTTATTTTCGTAGAAACTCTGAAATATCTGAAACTTTCGTGATATATCCCTTTATGTGGTGTGGGCTTCCGCGATGCCAGTCAGCTATACAATTTATCGCTCGCTGCTTTCTAGGGCTTTTAGTTCAGTTTTCCGTTGAGAGGGTAGGGGAAGAGCAATCGTTTGATTTCCCTAGTCGCCGAACCTCCTCAGTTCCAAAGTATGAAGTGGCCCAATACCAATCTCAGAAGCGATATCCAGTCTTTCTTTTGCCAAAGTCCCTGAACTTCTGCAAAGAAGGCATAATGCACTTCCTTATGTGTGGGCGATGTATTGTAGATATTTGTGGCGTACACTACGTTGGGTATGTAGATGGAAGCAAAATCAGAACCGCTAATATTCGGAGGCAGTCAAGCTGTTCCAGAAATTACCCGTCCTAGTACTTCCTGACAGTAGTGCGATCCCACTGCTGATACTGTTATATTGTAGTGATCAATCTGAAAAGGCTGTGGAAAAGTCTGAAGGACACATGGAGGAAAATGAAGCAAAAAGCAGGACCGGGGGGTAAAACGCTGTGGACGTATTCCAAGCAGATGCAGTTCCTGGAGAGAGTCGAATTCATGGAGTGAGAATGTTTTCAGACTAAGCTAACTGTCAACAGCCATAATTCTAATAGTTCTGCTTCAGAGGTCGTTATCCGAACTACGTTACGCAAGCATACCCCTCTCCACCTGAACGCGTTGTGAGAAATACTCTAAAGCGCAAAGCTCCTGCTCCCGACGAAGGTGATGGCACATTGCCTCTAGAATGTCACAGCAGTAAAAGAGAGTGAAATGTTTCAGCAGTTCAAAAGATACCAGACGCATCCGATGCAAAAAAGCCGAACTCAAGTCCTCCGCAGCAGGCACACGACCAATTTTCAGCATTTGGTTTGTAAAACTATGTCGTAAGCTGTTATTGTTTGATAACTGCTGTTTAACGCCGCAGTGCGCGATCCGAAAGCTATCACAAGAATGCTGAGTTGTGGGCAAAAGTCGGACCACGGACGGGATTCGAACCCGCATCTTCTGCTTACCGGGCAGTTGCGTTCCCTATTACGCTACCGGGGCCACTTTTGACCTCTCAGCTCAATGGCTATTTGTGCCATTGCCTTCGAGCACTCACACGTTCAACGTGATGAGCCGGTTAGCCGATATCGGCAGTGAACCGCAAGGCTTTTTACAAGTTTTAAGCTATTGTTATCGGCTAACCGGCTCATCACGTTGAACGTGTGAGTGCTCGAAGGCAATGGCACAAATAGCCATTGAGCTGAGAGGTCAAAAGTGGCCCCGGTAGCGTAATGGGGCACCGCAACTGCCCGTAAGCAGAAAATATGGTCGACACCGTGCCGTGGCCGACTTTTACCCACACAACTCAGCAGCCTGTGATACTCTCGTTGGCGTTCCATAGAAAAACATTATGAACGCTTCGTGTCATTCAAGGCCAAATGTGACTGAGGATCTTCGCTCACCTACCTAATGGATACGGCAAACAAAAAATGCATATTCTCAGACTCTGGTCTAGTTTGCTACATGGTGGAGAGGCGCCCCTACTTAAGTGGGTCCGCTTAGGTGCCTCAAAAACGTTGGTCCGGTGTGAAATCATGTCTGCAGCAGCTGAATTATTTCCAGGAGTGTCCTTTATGTTTTACAAAGGTCCTTTTTCGTTGTTTTTTTTTGTTCCTGATGGAGTCCCAGCTGACCCACATGCTTTTTTTGCAAAACAAGGGTTTACTGAGGTTAGCCACCTGCAAAGAGTACACAATAATCCAGGGAGTTCTCATATCTGAATAACCAGTTAGAAAATTCAACGGGACGAAACCGTGACACAACATCGTAGGCAGCGTCGGGATTCGAACGCGCCAGTCGTCAACGGCTCCGCAAAGCTATGGATCTGAATCGTCGACCGCCGGCAGCTTCTACATCAGAGAGGCTACGGAAGTAAGAGAGTTGGCCGATCACACTCCTGGCGTATCAGCGGATATGAGTTTGGCGCGATGCCAAAACCCGTTCGTCAGCCACGTGTATGAAGGCGAGCAAATGATGTGACGTATCATTATTGTCGATATACTCGTTTTCTACTACTTTTTGTCGCATGCGCGCCTCAGCAAGCAGGACAGAGAACGGCCCTGATGATGTTAACACTCATACTGCCTGACACGCCCAACCGCAGCGAACTAGAATGTAGTCGTGTTGTCGGCGGATGATGGGGCCTGGCAGCGCAACACTGTGTGGTCCCGTTGTTGTGTTGTTCTATTTACCCTTCTCAGCACCGTGTAACCGGGTTGGAGCGTACGTCGCGCCGCATGACCGTGTCCTAACACTCAGATGGTAAATAAACTAACGGGCCAGACTGTACATCGGAGCGCCGTGCTAGTGGTATAATCGCGTCTCATCCGTGGATCTGTGTCGCTGCCATAATCGCAACAGCTCTTTAACGAGGTGACAGTAAACGCGTACGAAACAGAGACTTCTTTCGTGGAATCGGTTTTCGCTGTTAGTATAAGCAACTAACCACTATTTCGATTCAGTTCTTCACGGGAGACCAGACCAATTCACAGCTAAAAGGAACTTCTTTTGGAGGTTGTTTTATATGTGGTGAACAAAAATGAAATAACTAACCAGCTGGATGCCACCTAGAAGGTTGAGGATTGGACTATCTGCGAAAAAATGTTCACACTGATATAGAGAACCAGTGTGTCTTGAAAAAAACAACTATAGAAAGACATCCATTGGTTGGCTCCGCCCGGGCGTCTTGGGAGAATTTGAGAATCTGCAAAGTTGGCTGAGAGCTTTCGGGACAATCGAAGAACTCATGTAGAGTGTTAGATACGGTTTCAGTTTCCACCCGAGAGGGAACCAGGCAAAATCGATTCGTATCTTGTTCTTCTCACGTATCCTTCCATTCTCTGACTCTCCAACTCTGCGGTGGTTATGAAAAGTGGGTTTGACCGTAGCCATTTCAGGAAATCACGTTACAAGCGCAAGCATGATAACGACTGCTCGTGTCGCTCGTCCAAATACTGAACCGTCAAAATAGTAAAAATTGTGAACCCTATTTTTTTGTGTCTGGCAGGTCCTTTCTTGTTTGCCTGTCTATTATACATGACCAACATTGTCATGTGGATTGAAGCTGATTGTCGTGGGTTTCTGAGCATTCCGTTTTATTTGTTCGAGGATGCTATTCTCTTTACATGTAAAATTTTCTGTCATCGCGAGCTCATTCAGATATTCTTAAGGGCAGTTTCTGTTGGGTTTATGAACCCTAGTGCTTGACATGATCACTTCACTGTGTTTTAAGTTTTAGTGATCCTATCTTTTAACATGTATTGGCAACTCTGTGATTATAAGCTGCGGCGCTGTTTGGCGTAAAAGTAAGCCTTTGGGTTACGGGGATTTACAGGACTCTACATACAAGATATGGCTCTCAGTCTTCGCTGGGTAGCATTCAGTGCCCCCACCGAGTCGAACTGCGCCTAAGCTGCTTTTGTTGTTGTTGTGTTTTACCCGTTGTTGTCCAGTTTCATTATTGCATATTCATGTTCTTTCACGAGTATGAAGCAGGTGCTCAGTCTGATTAGCATCTGCTTGTAGTTTTTATTAATTTATTTACATCTGATAAAGTCATTGTGCCAAGCTAGTATTGTAAAAAGCGCTTCCTCATGTCTAGAAAACGAAGCAAATCCAATATCCGATATGTTACCCAGTAGGGAACAGTACTTATCAGGATAAGATGCCAATAAAGAAAAGCGAAGAGGAAACCTTGCTGCAAAGATTATGCGGGAATGTAGTGGCCGGCCAACCCTTTCAAACGGTTAACTGATATTGGACGTGTCAGGGAGGGTAAATGAACTTGGTATCACTTGGACGAATCCATTCTCATCCTCGCCAATCACTATGTAATCCAAATCGCATTCAATGAAAAAAAAAATCAAATTCTGAATGAATATAGAATGCGTAGCGCATCCCAAAAGGGCTGATCAACATCGAAAACGTCGTCCTCCACCCTCAACAACCACGAAGGCTTCCTTAGAT